TGAACAATTCAAACCGTGGCTGGAGAAAATTCCGAATGATCCATACAATTGTTTTTGCTCTTACAATATAACGTTTCGGTGTGGTCTCGACGCACTGAGGCGACATTCTGACACGAAGAAACATATTTCAGAGTGTCAGAAAAGAGGCCTCATGGTAGATTTGAATATGCTAGAGGAAACATCGCCTCTGTCTTTTAAAGATTTTAAAAATATCGCGGAAATTAAATTTGCAGCATTAATTGCCGAATAGAACATTCCGTTTCAATCGGCAGAGGCAATTTTAGCTTTGTTTCAAGATATCGGGAAAGATCCCGGTGTTTTGCAAAGTATGACGATGAATCGAAAAAAGGCGCCGCGAATAATAAATAATGTCTTATGTACTCGCGAACAAGAACGATTAATAAATACTTTACAAAATAACAAATTTTCAATATTTATTGATGAAACTTCCGATATTACAAATGATAAATGGATGACATTTCTCGTTCGGTATGTCGACCCTCAAACTTTGAATGTTCGGACGGAATTATTAAAATTAATTCATTTAGATGCGAGTGATTGCAGTGCCGACAAATTATTTATAACTTTTAGAACCGAAATGTGGAAAAAACAAATTCCGTTCGAAAATATTCTCGCTTATTCCTGTGATAATGCCTCCGTTATGACAGGAAAATATGAATCATTTAAAAACAAATTAGAAAAGTATTGCAAAAATTTGATAACAATGCCATGTCCGTGTCACTCATCTGCATTAGTGGCAAATGTAGCTTGCAAAGCAATTCCTGAAGCATGCGAGGAATTGCTGAGCAAAGTGGCATCGTTCATCTCCAGCAGTCCCAAACGTGCATATATTTTTAAACAGTTCCAAGAATCATTTAATTTTGATACCAATAATAGAAATATTTTAAAATTGTCTAAAACGCGATGGCTTTCTCGCCATTTATGCGTGGCTAGATTAAATGAAAATTGGGACGTGTTATTGAAATTTTTGCAAGAAGAGCAAGCGAGCGAGAAATCGAAGTCTGAGGCTTTTTTGCTGCTCATGATGCAAAAATGAAATCCAAGCATACTTGTTGTTTTTAGAGTATATTCTTGACGCATTAAATAAATTTAATGCGTCATTTCAAGCTCAAGAAACAAAAGTTCATTTATTACAGTCAACCGCGGAAAATCTATTGAAAACCGTCCTTCGCAACGTTGTAAGAGCACCGTTGTTAGAATTTGTTGCGATGGGTACAATTAATCCCTTACTCGCGTGTAATCGTCTCTTTCCTGATCAAGTTCTGTTTGAACAAGCGTGCCAAGATCTTTTTGATCAATTGAATGAAGAAGATCAGGATGAAATTGTCAAATCAGTTTACGCTAATTGTTTGAAATTCTACGACATCGCTGCTAAAGAAATTTGTCAGAGACTATTTGTCAAAGAAGAATTTCTTAGCAAATTGCGGATTTTTGATCCGAAATTTGCTCTGCAAGAAAATAATAAAGAGAACAAACTAAACACCATTGTTCAGGATGTTGTAGTTGTTGCCAAACAATTCGGCGGATTTGATGAGGAGATGTTGCGAAAAGAATGGCAATCCTTACATCTGGATTTCGCATCAGAGCAAAAAGACTTCATACTGACATTAGATTTCGACGATGCATGGAAAATAATAATGACAACTAAAGACGCGAATGGTAAATTAAAGTATCCTACAATTATGAAATTAGTCAATGCTATACGATCTCTTCCAAATTCTAATGCTAATGCCAAAAGAATATTTTCCATGTTGACAGACGTAAAAACAAAAAAACGTAATTCCCTTTCTTCAAGTCACATTAACGCTCTGTGCGTATTCAAATCATGTCTGAGGGCGAGAGGAGAAACAGCTCTAACCATGACAGTTGATTCTCGACATTTAGCTCTCATGGCATCCGAGAATTTGAACAAAACAAACGATACAAAGAATGCATGTTCTTTGCGTTTGTTTGGTGTGAATAATAGTCCCTCTACGTCCTCGGATTTGTAATTGAGTCTGTCACAAACCAAATTTATAAACTGCACATGTTATTCATTTTTCAATTTTAATATCACAGCATATACTTTGTGTTGTGGTACTAGAATTCAGCAGTGACCACAAGTGGAGTTCATCTGTTTCGTTTCTGAAAGACTCAGTTACAGCTTGGATTGCTTGGTGGCTGTTAATATTGCTCTTTGTAAGACATGTGCATGTTTTCGGTGCCTTTCTTGCTTTTAATTTTCTTTGAGTTAGTTGCAAGTTTTTATGGAATACTTTTCCACGTAA